AACGTGTTAGAGGCGGTGCCGGATTTAATAAATTTGCATGAGAGCACGGAGCGCTTGGTGTTTTTCACTTCGGTATGCAATCGAGATTCACATGTAATATATTAACGTCAGGATAAACAACTGCACATGAATAATTCTTCTTTGTGATAGTGAAACCTCCATCTTAAAAATTCAATGTGAATTATATATATATATATATGGGTGACGTGGGAAGCGTGCGAGTGTCGAGGGGCTTCCATTTTTAATTTTTTGATATAAAAAGGGGCCAATGGCAGCGTTTTTCTTTCCCTTACTTTTGGCCTTTGTTTTCAATAGAAAGCAGTAGTAATAGGCTGCCCATAGCCCAACACAACAACATACATTCTCCCCATCCTCTTCTTTCTTTCCTTCTATCTCTTTGTCTCGACAATCCTCTTTTAGGCAAAACATTTTATTTGCTAATTAAGCACTTTCACCCATGGAAAATCCACAGCAACAGCAACGTCAGCCTTTGATGAAATCAAGATTTAGACGTGTCTGTGTGTTCTGTGGCAGCAGCCCTGGCAAGAATCCTAATTACCAGCATGCTGCCGTTCAGCTTGGCAAACAACTGGTATATATACTACTACTTAGTACTTGCTCTGTCTGCAGAAATTAAATCCTAGGCTTGTGCTCATGTTCTTGTCAAGGCTTCAATGTTTTCTTTTAAGAATTACACAACTTGGGCGTTTCTCAGTTGTCATATGTATGTTGTATCAAGAATATAAGATCAGCACCTGTTGAGCAAAGTAGCTTGAGGTTTAGTCAAAGAGGCTGAGGAGTTTTAGTAAAGGACAATAAGATCAGCACCTGCAGGGCTCCATTCAGGAGCAATCCTCTGCTTTTCTTCTCTGTTTGGATTAAATGAAACTAAAGAATTATCTAAATAATTGAGTATAGTTGTGATTATATTGTTTTATATTGGACAGGTAGATTTTACACTTAAACACGTAATCTTTGTTAATTAAAAAAAAATTAAGAACAATAAAGATTTTGCAGGTTGAAAGGAACATTGACTTGGTTTATGGAGGAGGCAGCATTGGTCTCATGGGCTTGATCTCTCAAGCTGTATATGATGGTGGCCGCCATGTGTTGGGGTAACGTTTTTGCCTTTGGTTTCCCACTTCCCTCTCCCCCTGTCACTTCTCCCTCTCGTGTTCATCTTGAGTTCTCTCATTTTTTTCTCTTCTTTGTTGCAGAGTTATTCCCAAGACTCTTATGCCAAGAGAGGTAGTTACTTTAATTAATCAGCTTAAAATCACTTGGAGAAAAGGGTTCTAAGCACGGAATCTTACTTACTTAATGTGGTAATTTCAGATTACAGGGGAGACTGTGGGAGAAGTAAGAGCTGTATCAGGTATGCACCAACGGAAAGCTGAAATGGCTCGCCAAGCTGATGCATTTATAGCCTTACCAGGTACTTAATTACTCCTAAAATAAGAAATTAATCAACATTTCAAGCAATAATTATGTTGATGTTTAAATTACCTGCCTCGTACTGGTTGAAGTGCAACTCAATCTCTTATAATTTACCAATAAATTTAAGCCGATCATTGAGCTCATAAGATTTTACAACTCAAGATATCTGTGTATACAACGGTCAAGTACCATATTGGACACACTGTATTTAACTCAAAATCCTCTCACAGGAGGGTATGGAACCTTGGAAGAACTCTTGGAGGTCATCACTTGGGCTCAATTGGGAATCCACGATAAACCGGTATTGAAGATTTTCTTCATATATTTATGCAAAAATTATCTTCAATATCACTGCCCTAGCATTGAAACTCGATTTCAACTCGACTGAATAACTTGTTAATCTGATTTTTTATTAAAACTAAAACGACATAGTTTTAGTTTTTTTATTTTTTTAGCGACATGCGGGTTAATCCTGGTATTGTAACTATAAAATCTACACATTTAATGTAAAACATTTCTGGAAAAAGTAAATTTCAAAGAATTTACTATGAAATTAGCAGTACTCTTTGATAATTACTTGATGATCATGTCAAGGCGGTGAAAAACAATAGGAGATAACATAGACTTGAACAAACATAATAAAAGTACTTTTCATTTAACTATAAGAACAAACATAATAAAAGTACTTTTCATTTAACGATAAGAGAGGACAAAAGAGTAAAAGAAACATTTACTTTGTTTTTTTGGTTTCAGGTGGGGTTGTTGAACGTTGATGGGTACTACAACTCTCTTCTATCTTTCATAGACAAGGCTGTCGATGAAGGATTCGTCACACCAGCTGCCCGGCACATTATTGTTTCAGCCCACACTGCCCATGAACTCATGTGCAAGCTTGAGGTCTTATTTCGTTTATCTTCTTTAATACAGTCAACATGGTCTCGGCCGTCCATTTCTCATATGATTTTTGTGCACATATAGGATTATGAAGCTGAGCATTCTGGGGTGGCATCAAAGCTAAGTTGGGAGATGGAGCAGCAACTGGGCTACACAATAAAGTCTGATATCTCCCGTTGATTTGATCAGAAACTCCTAAACATGATGGAGAAGAAATATTGACCATAGATTTTGGAAGATGTGAGATCCATTAAGAAGTGCCACCACAGTTTCTTTTAGTTAGCTGTGTGTGTGGATGATGATATGATTTTAGTTTTTAATTTTTTTCTTGTTTTTTGTCATTATTTTTATTTTATTTTTTAATTAGAGTTTTACCAGTGAGTTTAATTATTACTATTTTCCTATGTCGGTAGTACTAATTGTGTGTTTTTGTATATTAATTGCTTAATCCAATAAAAGAAAAGAAAAAAAAAGGAAAGAAGAAGAAGAAGAAGAGAGAGTACATTGATGTCATGTCTTGAATCGATGGGTTGTTATAAATTAATTTCATGAAAGGAGATTGATAGGGATGTTTATGTAAGACAAAATCATGACAAGGATCAATAAGGGCATTGGCCCAAAAAACCTTTACTGGTTTCTCACATAAATATCACAGTTTACTTTATAATATATGGTGTATATATGTGCGTTTTTCGGTTACAAGGTCCCATTTCTCATTTCTTGAGTACGAATTAATCCTGTTCTGGTCTCAAATATCGAGTTTATGCCTCTACTTTTTCCTTGATATGCTACAAGGGGGTGATCAGTACTGTGTGCATTGTGTGTTTTTATTTTAAAATATTTTTTATATTAGTAAATTAAAATAATTGAAAAACACTTAAAAAAACATCAATTTAATTTATTTAAGACAATTACACCTTTTAAAAATATCAAAAAACAAAAGTTATCAAATTCCTAAACAGATCTTAAGCATTAGACAAGACGTGATATTTTATTATTATTTCGAAACAGAAAAAAACAAAAACAATAAAGATGAAAATAAATGGCAATTTTAAAATTAATTTTTATATTTTAAAATAGAAAATATAAGGAGATATATACTTTATGTAGATGCCGTATAGAAAATGACATGGTTGAAATTGCTATTTTTTTTATTTTTTTATTTTTTTTTATTTTTTTCTTAGGCTGCAAAGGACTTAAAGTGATGTGCGTGCTTTTTAATTTTATTTTGTATATTTCAGAAGCACTTCACAAAAAACATCCTTAATGTAAAGAAACATCTTGAATGATAAGTCCTAACAAGCGTAAGGTATTGCGATAAGGCAAAACACAGAATGGTTTGCGGAAAAGATTTTTTTGTCATCCAGATGGAGACTTTACGCAGGAATCTAGCTAGGTGGGGTGCTTGGGAGTCAAATGATTCAGAAGACCAAGCTGTTTCAGTGAATGACTGAAGGAACAAGGACACCTATCCTGATCGTACCAAGATGGGCCACAGACAAGTGACTCGTGCACAAGAGGAAGGAGGAAAGGAATGGTGGATAGTATAGTTGCTTTGCTCTTTGCTCTTGACTCTTGGTGATGATAACTGTTGGTGTTGCAGATAAGGGCCTAGGGACTATGTACATGTTAGTGCTCACATGTGGAAATGGCATTTTCGTAGAAGTTTCTGTTGGGTCGTGAATGGAAACCAAAAGGAGAGGACCTTTTTGAACTCCATAGTTATCAACAATGTTATGCCAATGGTGGGTCATGATTTCTGGTGGAGATGGTATCTAGTGGCCATAGATAAAATATTCTGCAATGGATCTCTGATTGCGTTAAATTAGTATGAACATGAGTTTTCAATCAGCCCAATTGAGTAGTTATTTCAACCTCTTTTTCTATTGTGCTTTCTGTTGTTGGACAAGCATATACTTCGTAGTAATGTGGGAGTTCAGTGCTCATATTGTTGGTGGAAAATGACAATGCTTCTTCAGGGAGTCTCCATCAACAATTGCATACGAGTCATGAGCTTGGTACGAAAATAATCACCAAATCTTTCGGGAAGATGCAACCTTTCTCGTAGCTTGGATTGCTGCTTCAAAACCTGTTCTTGCATAACGTGCATGGTTTCCTTTTTGTCATTCCTCAGTAAGAGAAAATCGCGAATCTGCCGACTAACCTTGGTGATAAAGTATTCTGGCTGCGCACCACAAACTTGGAATTAAATCTTGCCTACGTCAAAGTGGGTGAAGGGAGGGAGAAGCTTGACTTGAAACAAAGATTCGTCCCATCATAGTTCTCAAATGTGAAACTACACTGGCTTTATCTGACTTTACACTCCTTGTGCTACCCATTGGACATGTTAAGCCAAATCATACCATTCCATGAACAAAACGCCACCCTCATCAATCTGAAGACTTTTATCCAACACATTTTCAGAATTTAGTTTTAATTTATAATTTTGTGAGTATCATGGCTCACGTTTGCCAAAGGGTTAGTTTTAGATTCTAATCAGCAACGGTAGGTTTCTTTCTTCTTTTTTTTCCTGTGCTGCACTGCTCTTAAGAAGATCCTGCCTTGGTTTCTTTCGATTTTGATATAGCAGAAGTTTTAGAAATTCCAGAGTCTATTAAGAAATAACAAAGCGGAAGAGAATACATAAAGCAAAAGAGCAGAACACCATATAATTTCAACAAAATTGGCAAAAAAATACTGCTAGAAGAACATTTATATTCAGGGCCCTCCCTCAAGAACAAGGGAAAAGAGCTCCATGCACTAGAATCTTGTCTCAAACTTAATTGTATGAAACAAGCTATTGAACACTAATTTGAAGTGAACGTCTCACGACAATAACCAATACGATACAAACAATGTGTACCTAATTATATGCCAGGATTGATTTAGGTGAATGATGGAACTGCAGAAGAAGTGGTGACAAGACCTGAGAGGAGGCCAACAATCACAGCACCATTATAGGTGGTTGGCTCTGCCTGCATTGAATTGTTGCGATCATCGACAAATTTTTCATTGAAGAAGGGACCACCAACAAGTGCTCCAGTTGCTACGTTGGGATTAGGTTCCTTTCTTTCAAGCCATGTCCAGCCATCTTTGCAACCAGTTTTTGCATCAGCTGGGATTGAAGCTCCCCTATGATGCACATATTGTGGATAATTCTCGCCATACCCAACAAGAAAGCTCATCTTCATAGGATTATTTCCCAAGACGTAATCAGCCTAAAAAGTAAGGTAATACAGCATTATCAGGTTTGCAAGTAATCATGGCTCTTGGACATGGTAATTCGTCACATTCTAAAGCCTATACCATGTATGAAACAAATATAACATGGGCAACCTACCTGGGATTTAGCAAATTTCCGAAGATCTGATGGTTTATATGAATATCCATTGCAGGATAGCTTTGCAGTTCCTGAACTACGCATGTAATCGCTGTAAAGAGAAGCTAAAAATGCAGAAGCAACGGGATGCTGCAAAGCATTCCATTCACTGACCCATATAAGACCACCTGCACCAATAAGTGGAAATGAGGCCACAGTAAATGGGTATAAAATTTTACTAAAACTTTGAACATGTGCCACACATTTTGAATATCAAGAAAACTAGGTAGCTTTGAAAAAGAATATTACTTTCTGTTCTACTCTGTGTGGCAGTTGGAGAATCAGGGATGAGACTGCACATAACAGCCTCGGCTGTTTTCCTATACATCTGAAGGCCTGAGTTTGAGGTGTCTTTGTTGCCAAAGAAAGTTAGTCTCGACAGCAAAACCTGCATCCAGAATAAATGGATTGTTCTCTTAAGAAAGGACACCTGTATTTCAAATGTTGTTGAAGAAATGTACTTCACAGTTCAAGGCCTAGTGCAAGGTATCTTAGTTTCCAAGAAATTAGACCATGATCCATATCCGAACACATTCCAAACAAACGAGGATCTTGACTTGAGAAATTTTAGAGATGGTACCTTTAGGAAATAGAACCAATGAACACAAATCACACCAATAATTTTGTAAATTTTGGCATAAATTTAAAGTAAAAGAACATAACTCTGTCTTGGAATGAAATCAGTATGCTTTAAGCATACGTATGCCAAATGTAGAACATGTCCTGAGATTAAAAGAAAAAAGGGGATAAAATTTACATCCAGTTACTTGGAACATGACAGATACCTGTGTTCCTGCAAGTTTGTTATCCCAACTGAACCATGTTGCACTTCCCCATTGTGCGAAGACTTCACCGTTTTTCCCAGTCACATACTGAAGATATGATTTATCCCCCGTTGCATGATAGAGCCAACTAGCTGCCCACAAGAGCTCATCCCCGTATCCTGTTGAGTTGTAATACGTGGAAACTTCTGGGATACTTTCACTATAAGAACCTCTATATTTGTCGGCAAAAGTAAACAACTCTTTAGCATGCTTAAGCAGCGCACTTGAATATCTGGAATCAGATTTAAACACCAAAGATGCTGAAGCCAAAGCTGCTGCAGTTTCAGCTGCAACTTCTGTCCCAGGAGAAGATGTATTAATCTGAGTAAGAGGCCTCTTTTCACTCATAACTTCAGGTCTTTCCCAACAACCATGATCAATTTCAGGGTCACCAACCTGTTCCAAAATGATAGCTAATCATATAAGAAATTGTTCATATCCAGGATTCTGCAGATGAAAGATAAAGTTACTAGCATAGCTCTAGGGAAGGTTGCAGCTCACATTTTGATTCATCACTACCCTGATCAAATGGCTCACTAGATTAGTTTGATTTTTTCTCCAACAATAAGATTCCAGTTTCAGGGAAAGCCTTGACAATGACAAAGAAGAATGCCAAACTCCGGAACTTAAATACCCCCAGACAATCAGCATAAATTTCAAGTTTCTTCCACTTCAAGTGCTCTGAGTGTAGCTTATTAAGGCTTGCAAATAACATCATGACTCAAAATAGAAACATTTAGAGGCTATGGAAAAGGAACTAACTTGAACGTAGAGCACATTCTCTTCAGGATGCGCATTGATAAGGTAGTCAGTGATCCATTTGAGCGAATCTTGAGCCGGATCCAACTGATTCACTACAGCCATTTGACCTCCATACTCGAGGATGGCCCATGAAAGTACTGTAGCAGTAAAAGCCATTGGAAAACCAAACTTCATAAGATCCCCAGCATCATACATGCCTTTTGAAAGATCCAATTTCGCTTGACTTCCATCTGTAAGAGCTGAATCCCCTCTCCAACTAAACTTGTTACAATATCCCAACTCGGCAGCTGGATTAATTGTCATCTTAGTGTTAACATTCATGACCAGAAAGATAATTACAAGGCACAGAAGATTGCAATGCAATGAACATAGACACAACCAGAGTTACCAAGACAAAATTTCTAAGTAATCAAATCAAAGATAGATAAAACAAGGCTTCTAAGCTCAAGAAAAGATCCTAAATTGTGCTATCAATTCAAAACAACAACAATCAAAACCAAACCCCGGTCCCTTTCGTTGCTTCCTTACATTGTGTTTTAACTTTAAACAATCAGAATTGTACTCATGTGTTCAATAAAAAGAATGCTTCGAGTATAAAATAGTGACTGAAACTAAAGTAAGGGAAAGAGAGCATACATCTTTGAATGTCAAAGAATTGCATAGCAATTTTGAGAGCATCAGCATATTTCTTCTCAATAGCACCAGGAGGCCCTGTAATAGGAGCAGCCCCTTCAGATTCCTCAGTTTTCTTCTGGACTGTATAGACAATGGCATCATAAACCAATGCCAATGTTACTACCACCAAAAACCACCAACAGCAACCTCTAGAACTTGGTTTCACTCTCATTTTAACGAAACTAAATCACTAAAAACCAAATCAAGATCAAATATTTAACGTCCATATCTGAAGAAAATGAAATTCTACGATAAAGGGCACTCCCCGTGTGCTTGCATTAAGCAATGCAAGGAAGATGGTTGCTTTAGGCGCCAGAATCCTACTTATCAAGCTACGGTTAAGTTAGATTATTAATTAAATAGTTAATTAACCTTTTGCCTCTAGTCTGCGGCACAAAACGAGACACCGACAGCCGTATTATTATTTTCCTAGTGAAAACTATGATTCAACAGTTTTCATTTTGGTCTCCATAGTTTTAATTTTTTTCATATCGATCCTATATCTCAAGGGAAGGTGCCTGATAAATACTCTTTTTGGATGCATTTCGTTAGTGTTATAAATTATACAAATATTGAAAAAACATAAAGTATAAGGACTGAAAGGAAATGTGGCTGACAGTACAATGGCTAGGTAATAATTTTTTCTTGTTCTCTTTAAGTTTTGTAAGTTTCCCTTAGTGAAATCAGAGATGGATGTTGACTTGGTCGAGAGAGGACTCGTGTCTGCCGTTTAATAATGGGACCCGTTCTATATGGACCGGTCAATCGGGTCACTGACAGCCGGTGCATGATAAGGACTGTGGATCTGTTCATTCTTTGAAGCTGAATTGTGATGGTCAGCTGTGTTTTTAAAGCAAACACCAGTAATGGCTATGGGCTTCAGTGACAAGAAGATGGCAGCCAGGATGTTGGTGTGGTGTCCATTTCAGAGAAAGAGACAGACTATTAAAAGAGTTGGTAAAGTGTGACCCCCTGTTTTGTGGTAAATGTTGAGGTCCAAGAAGATGAGATATATTTTGCTAGCTCAAAGTATAAAACGGTTATAAAACTTAACCAGTTTGGTATATCGGTTGACTACAAAATTAGACTAATTTGAGTTGAAAAATAAATATAATAAAAAATTAATTGAATTTAACTTAGTCAAAAAACTTAAGTTAATTTATAATTGATAGAAGGGTAAAAAATACTATCAAAACTCATTATTTTTTTTAAATGACAACATTCTAAAATTATTTTAAAAAAAATTAAATCAAATTAGTTAAACTCGAATAAAAGTTTTATTTTAGTTCAATTATTGGATTAGGTTTTACTGATATTACTGATATTACTGGTACGAAAAAAATTAAATCAAATTAGTTAAACTCAAATAAAAGTTTTATTCTAGTTCAATTACTGGATTAGGTTTCACTGATATTACTGATATGATATTATTATGAAATTCATACCTAAAACTTTACTTCTGCAGGGCTTCTTTAATTATTATTAATAGCAGAGAAATGTTTTTCTTTTTTATTTTTATTATAAATAAGAGGTTCAAACTCAGTTTTTCTATAGTTTTTTAGGGGAGAGCATTAATAGCAGAGAAATGTTTTTCTTTTTTTATTTTTATTATAAATAATTGCCAGTTGAGAAATGCCCTGGGCAGAGAGAGTCCTAATTTTGTTTAAGGGGCTGCATTATTGTGTTGCCTGAAGAAATTTGGGCAGAAATAATTTCCATATATATTTACTTTTGATGTTATAGTTCTAAATTTCAGAGACTTGATGGGGAAATAAATATTTTCTATTTATTCAACGTTAAAATTGTTCTTAGATAAATTTAAAATTTAATGGTTTTAGTTTTTAAATTGAACTAAAATGAACCAGTTTTTTATTATTTTTTAATAAAAAATATTCAAAAACCTGTTCAGTTTAATTAATTTCAAGTCAGTTTTTATAAATACTTTAGATAATTCGATTAATTCAATCTTATTTTGTAATTAGGCTGAGGACCCGTTATTTATCAAGACGGGGAGCAAAGTTAGCCCATTTCCCAAACGCGGCCGTTTCCATGGTCGAGTCACCACCAACGTGTAAAACTTGCCAATATCAAAGCCCAAGAGACAACCAATCAGCTATTGACATGTATTTGTCTCTCTTCAGTTCCATCTCACCTGATTAATCAATCACTCAACACCAATTCCAGGCACCAGTTCTTTAAGCAAACGATTAAGAGGTAAATTCCTTCTTCTTTTTAACCTAGTTTATTATTTCCGCCAAGACCGACGGCGCTTGGTGCCGGAGAGACGCCTCTCTCACTCTCCATTCTCTGGATTCCCGTTAATTTCCTGCCGATCAGGTACCTTGCCTTTGATCACGAGCTATTAACTTTCACTCTGTTCATTTTTGCTCTCTTTAGGGTTTAATCAGGCGAACAATTAGGTAATCAAAATGGCTAGAACATATAGATTTATTAGCAAAGTATGTATTTTGAAAGGTTAATTACAATTATAAATGTTGTTAATAACGTGATTAAGAAGTCCATGAATGCGAGCAGACGCGTCACAAAAACTGATCATCTGTGTGTCAGTTTTGAGTTTTAGGAGTGAATTTGAATTAATACAGTTCTGTGAATCGTGTGATGTTGCGGCACTCCATGACCGCAGCGCTCCGTAATGATGAGTTTATTAGCCTAGAAACTTGTAGTTTTTAACATTTCGATGTGATGCATTTGAAAAAAAAGATATTTTTATTTATTTATTTTGATTAAAATTTTCGATGCTCGTGGATCTTAGTGTTATTGATAAGAAACCGAATTTTGAAATTATGTGATTTGTGGCAAAACTGATAGACGAAGAGTGAAGTTCGAAAGCATAATGTGAAATTGTGGAGTTGCTGATGTTGTCGACAAATGATGCTGTTTTTGTGACGGTGTATGTTTGCAGGGGGGACTCCATTGATGGTCTTATGTGTGTATTGAGGGATTGTTTGATTCAGAATTTAACTTCAGGGGATGATTATAAGTTCTGGGAATAATTATGATAGATTTGTGCATTTGTGATTCTTGTTAATCATATGATTGTTTTGGATGGATTTATGTGTCGTTTGGTATGACTTTTGAAAATTGATTAAAGTTGTTTTTTAACTATTGACTCATAAAAAAGTCATAAATATGTGTGGTTAGAAATAACTCTTCACTTGTGAATTCTAATTTATACTACTACATCTATTCTTTACAAAATGCTTTGAGTTATATATGAAAAACAACCTTTTGAATTATGACTCAAAGTCAAAAGTCTTTTTTACAATTCATGCCAAACATGCTCTTATTTAGTTGATTGGGATTCGATATATGATGTTGATGGATTTATACAGTCCATTAATATTAGATATATGAATTTATCTGACTGTACTCTGTATTATGTTTTCCAATCCACGTTTGGCCTGGAACCTGATTGTTATTTTGTTATCTTTGCATTTGAACAATCTTCTTTTCAACTGGAGAGTTTCCGATAATCTTATTGGTAGTTGTTTTTCTGACTGCAAATGTGCTTTATGTAGTTGTACATGGAAGGTGAAACTGGTAATCAATCTAAGCAAGAACGTTTTAGAACAAGGTGGACACCATCCCTTGATAGGATATTTGCAGACTTGGTAGTGCAGCAGATTCAGTTAGGAAACAGACCAAATAATGTTTTTGACAAGAAAACTTGGAATCACATACGTGATGAATTCAACAAGGAGACGGGTTCAAAATTTAATAACAATCAACTGAGAAAGCACCTTGATGTACTGCGGACACGATTCAATAATGTGAAGTCAGCGTTTGCTCGAAATGAGTTTGCTTTGGTGGATCCCTGTGGTGTTGGATTTGATTTGTGGGAAGATTCTTTTGGGGTGTGTTTCTTTCCTGCAGTTACCCTGTTTTACTTCTTGATCATCTTATTTTGCATTCTAATATCTTCTACTTACAGGCACAACCTAGGCCTGAGGCAGTTAAAGTCAAGGACTGTCCCATATATGACCAACTCTGCAAGATTTTCACAGATACATCAGTTGATGGGAAGTATGCCCAATCAAGTCACTTTGAGGGTTTGGACAAATCTGTTGGAAATGATATTGCAGGTAGAATTTCATGGCCAGATGGCGGAACCTCTCGTTCTGAAGATCCATCATCATCATCAAAATTATCAAAAGGAAATTCTGTATCATCAGAAAAGGCAGTGAAGAATGCAGGGAAAAGAAAAAGGAAACGTCCGTCTGAGACACCTTCTTCAGAGCAGAATAATAGGGATCAAGAACTTAATGAAGCTATGGCAGAAGCCTTGTTGGAGATGGTAGCTGCTTCGAAGTGGAGGGAAGTTGCTGCAAGACAAGATGAGGAGAGATTTACCATAACTAATTGTATTGAAGCTCTGGATGAGATTCAAAAGATTGACCAGCAACTTTACTTTGCAGCTTTGGACCTTTTTGAAGACCCCACCTTACGAGAGACCTTTCTCTCTCTCAAAGGTGATGACCTACGGTTGACTTGGTTGCAGGGTAAGTGTGGTAGATATAATCATTTTGGAGGTTAAGGCATGTGTCATTTTTAAACAACCCCCCTCCGCCCCGCATCGTTTTGCTCTCTCAAAGATCTTTACTGCCACTCTTAGTTTTAAGTAGCAACAATATCCATACCATGGCTTAAAATCTTGATGTACATGGGTTTTAGTTGTGGCAAGGCTAGCACGCTGCTAGGCACTTTCGGTTATTCGTGATTGATCTGTGATTATCACCACCCAGAAGGAACTTGGACCGTATTTGCAATCTTGGTGCCATGTGTTTGTAGTGTTTTCCATTGCGGGTGGTGGAGAGCCTCCTGCCCATGATCCGGACCAGCTTTTGGAAGTCAACCTGTGATCTAGACCAGTAAGGGTTGAAAAAAGAATAGGAAAAGGAAAAAAATCTCGATGAGTGACCTGTTGGTTGACCTATTAACAGCAAGGAAAGTATCGAGCATTCGAGCTGCTTGTGGATAAGCATTATATTCCATTCATTCTCTAATTCTATCCATTTGCATTGACTTTTTTTTTAAAAAAAAAAAAAAATTTGGGTTGTGGATAAGCATTATATTCCATTCATTCTCTAATTCTATCCATTTGCATTGACTTTTTTTTAAAAAACAAAAAAAAAATGGGGGTGGGGGATAAGCATTATATTCCATTCATTCTCTAATTCTATCCATTTGCATTGACTTTTTTTTAAAAAAAAAAAAAAATTGGGGTTGTGGATAAGCATTATATACCGTGTCCCGGGTTAGCGTTTGCACTATGCTTGTGGATCGCACTTGGCAGTGGTCCTCTTTGCTTGGTATGAAGGTCCATTACAGAGGAGCGCTAACTGCGGGTGTTAATTTTGCTCGTGAACTTCAATTGGGCCACGGCATGCTAACTTGAAGGTCAAGCTACCATCTAGGCTGATGTCAGAGACGCTACTGGAAAAATTCTTCTCTATGGCCCACCAATTTTCTACCCTAGCATAGATGATAAAACTCGACTTGTCAGATTCTGGCTAGTGGCGATGACTAAGAACAAAATCCACAAAGTGCGTATTTTGTGTCATGCCTCAGAATCAGAAGCATTCCGAGAAACAATATTAAAGAGTCAGTCTAACAAAGCCAGGTGGAAGATGATGAAAATCACTGCCATCATGCACCGGGATGATGTAGCATGGAATCTTACGTCTTTCCAGAAACTCTTAATATACTCTGAATTGGCATTTTGGCAGAGGCTCAGAGGTTTCAAAACCTTCTGAATTTAGAAATCAATATATAATCTAGGTAGAATAAAAAAAAATATAAAAAAATTAGATATTGTTAATATTTTTCTAGTAATTTTTTTAAAATTAAAATTAATTTGATATCACATGATCGACTTCCAAAGCAACCCAAACAACTAATAAAAACATTCTTTGATTAATAAAAATTTAAAATAATATTTTTTTAAAAAAATAATATTGAAACAACAACTTGTTAGATCGATCTGGGCCAATATAGGTTAACATGTTAAATCTATAATTTAGATCATGAGATCATAATAATTTCATATAAAATAAATTAAAATAAATTATTAAACTTAATTCTTAATCAACCTAATGTTAAAGAATGAAATTGAAAAAAATAATTAAAAAATAACAAAAATAATTGATTTGAGTTAACCTGTAAAACTTGTGATATGGTGCGTGAGATCAAAATAAATTCCTAGAAAGTAAAAAAAATGACCTACGTAAACTTAGACTAATATGTTAAACTTGCAACTGAGATTACGAGACTATAACAACTTTATAAAAAACAAATCAAAATAAATTATAAAACTTAATTTTCAATAAACTCATTGTTAAAGGTTGAAAATGGAAAAAAAATCAATCTAAAAACAAAACACAATAAAACGAATCGAGTCTACCCGGATTAACCCGCAAAACACGTGACCCAAGTCACAAAATCAAGATAACCTTATAGAAAGCAAATCAAAATAAATCATGAAACTATAATCAACTCAACGTTTAATGATGAAATAGAAAAAATAACGATTAAAAAAAGACAAGAAAAACACTCGAGTTGACTAGGTAACCCGCCAAACCTATGACTCGAGTCATAAGATTGAAATAACCTTATAGAAAGCAAACTAAAATAAATCATGAAACCAAATTCACAATCAATCCAATGTTAGAAGATAAAATTCAAAATATATATATATAAAAAAATAAAAAAATCAAGTCAAATTATCAAACATGTGACACAAGATATGATAACAAGTTAATTATGTATAAAGCAAATCACAATAAATTATTAAATTTAATCTTCAATAAACTAAGTATTGAAGCATGATATTAGGAAAAAAAGATTTAGAAAGAAAAAAAGGGACAAAAAAAACATTATTTAAATGAATAGTATTTTATGAGGTGATTCACAATAAAAGCACCATCTAACTCCAATCTACCAAGTTAATTTGTTAAACTCATCATACTGGTTTTAAAATCGAGTTAATCATTAATGGAGCAAGTCATAATAAATTATAAAGTCTAATCTCGAATAAACTAAATGTTAAAATATAAAATTAGAGAAAGAAATATAGATTTAAAAAGAAAAAAAATACTAAAATGAATAGTATTTTATGAGGTGATTCACAATAAAAGTACCACCTCTTTTAGTTTATACTACTAGCTATTTGATATGCACGCCACCACAGGTCATAATTTTTATTTAAGTATAAACCTTGGGAATTCATGCAATTTTCTAAAAAAATCAAAGTATAAATTAAAAAGTTCATACAAGCATCTAATCAAGTAATTCATTAATCATTTATCTAAATAAACAAAAACAAAATCCCAAAAGAGAAACTGGAAAAATTGAGATATGGATTTTAGCCAAGATATCTAATCTTGTAAAATAAAATATGTACTTGTTTGTGTCTATTGAATTTGTTTATTAAAATTAGTAAAAGATAATAGAAACAAAAATAAATATAAAACTGATTGAATAAAATAAAAGAAAAAAATTATACAAGGTTAAACATATAAGAAGTATTATTTCAAAATAAATAAAAGGAACTGTTAAAAAATTAAATATAAAAAAAATTTATACAAAATAGGTATGCAAAACCTATGGCCGAAGCCATCGGAACATGATAAACCAATAGAAAAGAAATTGAAGATAACCATAAAAATATTTTTAAAAAAGAAATAATGTTGAATGATGAAATCATAAAAAAATAAAAATAAAATTCTTGAACAGCATAAACTTGTCAAACTCATTACGCATATCAATAGTTCAGAAGCATCACAAATGAAAAAATTTTGAAGTTCGTTCTCTATCAAATTAAAGGCTGAATGATGAAATTAAAAAAAAAAAACACACAAAAACTATGATTACAAAAATAAGGGACATTAAAAAAATTTAAATTGCAGAGTTAATTTAGAAATAAATAAAATTTAACAAAAAGAAAAACAAATCAAAATAATGATGGCTAAATTAAAAATAATAAAATAACATAAACTCTGATTCAAGGATGAAATTAAAAACCAAAAAAATTTTAACGAAAGAGCCAAAGGAAAAAAAAAAAAAAAAGATTGAATAGGAAAAAATAATATATGACAAATTATAATTTAATGATAAATAAAAAATATTTAAAACTTTTATAATAAAATTATAACGACCTTACACACACACACACATAAAAATTAAATATCTTTTGAGTATTCTTTGTATTTTTTTACATCAAGTTATCAACTTAATATTTATTAACTTGTAAACAACAATCATAATAATCATCTCATCATCTGGACCTTTAAAATTTTATCATGAAATTCTCATTTCAATTTTTTATATAACAATTATTTATAGCTAATTAATTCATGGTAAGCATCAAAATCTTTCAAAGGTAATTATGTTTAAAATATATATACAACCAACTAAAATTTAACTTAATAATAGAAACATCTTAAATTACATCATTAGTAAGTAATTAAGTTAAATATTACAATTCTTAAACACAAAAGTGTATTACAACATAATATTGATTTTTCCAATAATATCAATTACTTAATAAAATTATACATCTATACATCTATACATCTATTTTCCGGTTCAAGAGTGTGATGTATCTAAAAACATAATCATATTAAGTATGATTAAAATTGTACATTACGATAAACAAATAATTAAAGACTAGCTATTCATGTGTATTAAAGTAATTCTCGCATTATTAAATGAAATATCTTGTATTTAGTAATTCAATAATTTCATCAATTCTTAATATAATTTCTAAAGTAGAAATAAATTTACAAAAATGCTAAAAGTGTCTCTAACAAACCCTCATATTTAACTTCAATTTTAATCAATTAAATTCTATAATTATCCATTACACGAAGTATTTATTCCATTAACTAGAAAGTTAATTGCCTATTTGTCAGGACAATATTTATCTTAACTAGGAAATCATCATATCCACGCACCAATTTATTAGGATATTATTTTCATTAACCATGAAATAATCTTTTGAACTCGTTTATTCAATAAGGTATTAAACTACATCTTTATTTCATGACTTCATATTAAAATTACTATCTAAGAAAATTGTTTTTGCAATCATCTGAAATAAGCTATTAAGTTAGTTTAAAGTGTTAAACATTTATTTGGTGCCTGAACGCATGAAGATATTCTTTGTTGCTGATTAGGTTTACGATCTTCTTTATTTGAACACAATTTGTCATGACATTGCTCATTATTTCTTAATTAAATCCAACATCATTAAATAAGTTTGATTGAACTTTTAAATCAATAATTTTTTTTTTTATTATTTTTTTTATTAATACAAGTCCTCGGAAAAAAAAAATTTATTATTTTTTTTTATTAATACAAGTTCTCGAACTCTCAAAGGATTCACTCAATTCATCTAAAACCATCTTTTTATATTAACAAAGTCCAGATCAAAACCTTTTCCCTTTTTTTTTTTTTATGTGTCATGGCCAAACTTCAATAAGAAAAAAAGGTGAGATTTTTTCCCCTTTCTTACAAAAATCACTATTCAATTAACTTATTAACATTAATTATCTACAATTTGATAAAATTTCTAAACAATTTTATCAAAACTCAATTATCTCAATTTTTTTTTCTTAGCCGAAATTAATTTAAAAGAAGAAAGTGAGGATTTTTCTTCTCTCTTTGAAAAATCCTCACTCATTTTATTTATTAACATTTATAATCCTATATTTTCTCACAATTTCTAAACAATTGCATGAAAATTTTAAATATCTCAAATCTTTCTATTTGATCGAAACCTTTAAGAAAAGGGGGGAGGAGGGAGATTTTTTTTTTTATTTAAAATTAAACACTTATCTGATTATAATATATACTTCTTTGACATGGTTCGATCATAATTTACATTATTCCTATAATTAATGCACAAACCCATAATTTCATATAATTACAATAATTCAGTTACTTTATCAAAACATAAAATTAGAGAAAATAAACACTTTAAGCATATTCTTTTCCTTATTTTGATAAGGATTCAAGGAAAAATTACAAGAAAAATCAAGTTTTCTTCTCTCTTTTTTTCAAACCTTAAAAAAAAAAAAAACTAAAGAATTGTTATCACAAAAACACAATCTTTCTCCACTCGGGCAAAATAATATAAACAATAATTTCATCATAACAATCCTCAGTAAATTATGTCTTGTGCTATATTGAAATTTTCTATTTAATTATATAATAATAATTATAAAAAATGATATTCCCAGGCAAGGCTAAACTCAAGCTGGTTAACTTGGGGAAACGACCGAATTTCTGATCTATCCAATTCCCTTTCATTTACTCATGTCATTTAACAAGAACCACGAACTCAAAATCCATGCATGTGAGATACATGGGACGGTGGGGGAACAACCAAATAAACGGCATGGCATATACTGATGGTACAGTGGCTCTTACTAAAAAAACCAATGCAAATGTACAGTTGGCTCCATCGCACAGACATAACGAAACCGAAAGATATTTTCACCTCAGCAGCAACCAAAGATTTGCAGCAAAATAAAGGCGAAAAACAAAAGATTGAGTGTAGGTTACAGCATCAAGGAATGAACTCTACTTGCATCCCGAGCAGGCCAAACAAGACAATACTTTTTATCTTGCATGTAGCCTATATAACGGCATAAAACCTTTAGTTCAGTCATATCAACCATTTTATCTTTTCACGAGTAAAACAAAACCAAAAGGAAATACGACCTGCAAATCATGCAGTCCTGTGATCTTTGTGGTCTATACTCTCTCCTTTAAGCTTGTACATATTCAGCATTTCTTCTTCTATTGGATGAGTGGTGCCTACTATTACAAGGCAGTGCAGGGGTGCCCCAAAATCAACTGCCAGAAGTTGCCTCATTGTGCCAGCAACTATCTTCTGATCTTCATTTCCAAGCCGAGCAAGCCCAACACAATTGGTGTCTTCATTGTATGCTGCAATTCATGGATGACAAAAGTGTAATTCTTAGTACAATATGATTCAGATTCTTCTCAACGAGCCTAAAAGTGCAGAGAATTGGATTTCATAAAAGCTTGAAGATCAAGATGCAATAAGAAAAGAAAAATGATATCCATGAGATAATGTGTTAGGCTGGAGGAAAATGACAGGTCGTGCTTGCATTATAAGCACAGTCTAGAATCCGAGATCTATGGTGATACATGCGTGTAATACACTTTCCTAAGCTATTTACTGTTAGAGAGGGTAAAAGTTAGCACGAATCCGAGATCTATGGTGATACATGCATGTAAAACACTTTCCTAAGCTATTTACCGTTAGAGAGGGTAAAAGTTAGCACAAATCCGAGATCTATGGTTATACATGCGTGTAAAACACTTTCCTAAGCTATTTACTGTTAGAGAGGGTAAAAGTTAGCACAATATGAAGTCAATAAACATAGAATATGATTTTGCAAATTCCTCAATCCCCAAAAATAGTGAATAATTGTGAGCCTCACCAGATTCTCCACGGTTTTGCTCAATCTCCAAGAGTTGCTCAATCGCAGTATTTATGGTCATGAATCTTGGTGGTTCATATAGCTTCTTTCCTCTGGACCATAGGTGAAAAGTAATAATCAGTCTAGAAATAACACAAATGCAGAGAATAAACTACAGAGCCATTAACCTGCACAGACCTGCACAAGGATTCCCATGTAGGTTCCTTCACTTTTATATCTGCAAAGCAGACAAATACGCATTGATCAAATGTTTCTAGTTTGACAGCATATAAAATAGGAAGCTTTTGCAAGGTCACAGGATAAACAAACCAGAATTTTCAACAACTAGCGCTCCTTTTACTTATTTATTTATTTTTACAAGTAAAAGATGGAATTTCTGGTCATAAAATAACAAAAAAGAAATGTTCCTTATGGTTATTGGAACAATGAACAATTATGTATGAAAATTGGAATATTATGTCAATAGATGATAGCTCGACAAAATTGACTCCTATACATAACTGAGGGGGCAGGGAGGCTCAGCCTCTGATTACATAGAATAGATGATCCTTTAAATTCGCATTCCCAGATATGCAATCCTTATTAATGCTACAGAGCCAATTGACAAAAAAAGATAAAGTGAACCAAAACTTGCAATTTATAACCGAGGTTAAGGCACGAACCCTATTGTTGAATAACTAGAGGTACGCCTGTATAGTAGAGAATTCCATTGTATGCATTCGCAAGAACTAAGAATTTACCAGGTTGCATTTATCTTTTCTGCAGACTAAAAAATTGGTATGTGACAGAAGAAATTCTCACCTAATAGACAGAGAGTATGCAATCCAAGCTCACGATTTCTTTGTATCTTCTCATAAAAGCTATCAGGTTTCCATGTATCTGTAAAAAACGGAATTGAAATTGTCTCTCCATATCGATACAATTGCAACCCACAAATCCCAACAGCATTCATCACCGATGCATTATGTATCACTTTGACCTCAACCCCTAATTCCTTAGCTCGAACAACAAGATCAGTGTGAGTTGTAGCCCTGTGTTTCCAAATGAACAAATAAATGAGCCAAAATACACGCTTTGCAATCATAGAAAACGAAATTGAAACGAAAAACCAACAGGGACGTACCCAAAAGGATCTCCAACAACAAGAAAAGCCACGTCTAATGAAGTAGCTTCAGACAACACACTGTCTACTTTCTCTTCTACCATCTCTCTATCTGCAACGGTAATGGGTTTCCCATACAACTTTTCCTGCAAATCCAATTCAGCTCAGATGCATATTTTATAGATTATTAACTAAAACAGTACTAATTCAGAGTTTAAAGAAAAAAAAAGGAGTTGTTACCAGAGTGGAGAGTCCATCAGTCGAGAGACCAAAGGAAAGAAGAGAAGTGTAGGCTTCCATGTAAACTTTCTCACATTTCTTCACTGCTTCTAGTCCTCTCAACGTGATGTCCTTCTCGTTACCTAAACCCAGACCTATCAAGTACAGCATCTCTACCTGTATCGCTCTTGCTTAAACCCTAGTTCTTGTTTCTGCTAGCAGTTTAGGAAAATAAAAGAGAGAAGTGAGTTAGGGATACTATAAACCCTCGAAATCTAACAATCACCGCAAGTCAGGAGACAGATAAAGAGAGGGGGGGAAGGGATTAATGAGAGAAGAAGGTGGGAAAACGGGTGCCAGGGCTAAAACCCAGAATGAGCAACACACAAGACCCAAGACACCCTCTCAAAACACCTACGCATTTTGACTGAACTAGGGGCAAAAACGTAACCATGCTATTTAAATGCACAATGTAAACCGCCCCTGGAAAAAAAAATTAAACCCAGCCCAGGCACCCCGGCCTGGTCTGAGGTTCCACTCTCCAAGGCTTTTCTTAGACCAGGAATGATGGGCTACCCAGGACAGGCCCGCCTGCAGGAGCCCCTTTTTTGTTTTTTTATTGTTTTTATCCTTCCATTTCCATTATTCTTGGTTTTTTTATGGAATTTTTTTATTGTTTTTTTTTCAAATTTGAAAGACTTCTATAATTTTTTTAATGTAATATGATTAAATTTTTACTTAAGTTATGGGTAAGACTTTAACTTTTTTATATTAGAAGGTATTCGTAGTCTTTTTTTTACTGTTATTTTATTAAATAAAACATTTGGTTACAATAAATAAAATTATCAATTACAAACCAGTACATAGCTCATATTTTAAGATCTGGTATATATCTTTCAATTTAGTATTTGGTTAAATATTATTTAATATTTATTTGATTTTCATATAAAATAATAACATTTTTTTCTAATATGTGCAACTTTATATAATTTTTTTATTTTTTAATCATTTTCATATATATAACTATTTTTATTATCATTTAATTAAATAAAGTTCTGACTTTAATAAACAAAATTTTCAAACATAAACAAACACACGACTTATTTTATAAAATTTAATATCTTAATATATATCTATTTTTTAATTTTTTTGATTTAGTACTTAGATGATATTTGATTGAATACATAAATAGACTTTTCTAGGATTTTTGTGTGTTAAGCAACACGTTGGAAAAGGCTGCTTTTTTATTTGCTAAAAAAATTATCGGACTGCTTGTGACCTCTCCTCTCGTTCTTCTGTACTGTACTATTGCTTACAAATATCATAACAAGAACACCCCTGCTTCTCAATTTTTTTTCCAGTAGAAATAATACCGCCTCAATTTCTACATGCTGAGCTTGTTTACATTGGATCAAGGATGGAGAAAGAAAGGATGGAATCTGAAGGTGTTAATACAAAAAAGAGTGTCGATGATCGTGTCTTTCTTATTACAAGTTGATCGGATCAACTTCAAAACCATGTCTTCTTCAAAGTTTCAATCATCATCCTTGAATTCTCTGTTCAAAGGAAAACACAAAATTTTGTTAGTGACACAGTTAAGACTCTCAACATCCCTTGTTCCCTGAAGTTGCATCTGATGAATGCAGATAAAATCCATTCCCAAAATTAAGACCCGCATTACTGACTTGTTACAAGACCTGTTCGGCCCGGCAGCCCAACCCGGTGACCCATTCACCAATGCTTTCCCCAGGCCAAGCTGGTGAAAAAACTGAAACAACTTGTTTTTTAAGAAAAGCAAAGCTTGAGTTGATACACTGACCCTATGGATCAACCCATCTGACCCGAGTCCTAGACCATCCAAGTCTTGGACCAATTTGATTGTCGGAGCAGGTCTTATGACTATGGTTTAGACACAATTTTATTGTCATTTCCATCCAACATAGAATTTAATAAAAGCAATCCACCATGTTTGATTTTTCCTTGCTGATGAGTATGGGATTAATTAGTGTAATCTAAGTATACAATGCGATGAGCTGTTAGTTATTTTTTCTGCTTATCAAGATCTGATTATAGAATCATACCTGCGATCTAGATACCGGGGTTGAATGCCACTGCCTTGACATGTTGTGCAAGTCAAAGAACCAAGACCGTCGCAATTGATGCATCTAGAGACTTCTTTTTCATCCCCACCTAGCTCCACTGTCACTGAGCCAGTTCCCAAGCAAAATCTACATTTTTCTGCAGAAAGCAATCCAATTACGAAGAGCAACCATCAGAATTTCAACATGGCAATATCATCATCCAAATTCAGTTATGCCTCCAGTCTCGTGTCATTTTGTTTTTCTTGCTGAGAAATGACGTTCCTACAACTTATACTCTTTAAAATCCAGCAACTCTCCTTCCCTTCTCTTGTAAACTAGATCATGAATTTGCGTGTTAAGATCTATGCCTACATATTTCAAAAGGAAATCTAGTACATTAGTTAAATAATGTGTGGAAAACTACTGGGAAGGAGAGGATGCTGAAACCGAGATCAGTGATGGATTAGATAGAATCATTTTAGAAGCCAATCTTGTGATCACTAAGTTCACCAGCTAGCAGTTGCTACCATTAATGATGCTCTAAATCGTGATACTAAACTGGAGAATGGTAAAAATGTGTGCAGGAGTTTGCAGGGGATACAGTTCAGGAAATCCAAATCTTCGTCCTCAAACATGCCGGTGCCCCTCACAGATTGCTACTAACAGGGTTATGCAGGGAGTGGAAATAGAAGAGGACATGTACAAAAAACAACCAAAGTGCACACATTTGCGATATGAATCTATAGCACCAACGTGGTAAAACCACCGATCCCATATGAAATAAATAAAAAATATTTAATACATTGAGTTGAGATTAGATGGAATCGAAACTAGCTATCAAATTCAGTATAATAACGGAGCCATCAAGACCAGTGAAGATAGTGGAACCCAATACATATGATAGATTGCAGGTAAGGGGAGCGTAAGAACCACCAATCCCACATGCCTTGAATCTTTTGTTGGAACCCCAACTAAACTATCAAATTCAATACAATCGACATTCAATGCATGCTTATAACAATGTAGAACCTTAAATTCACAGGCCATCATTGAATTCATATATATAATATTGTTCTTTAAGTCTCATACTCCAGCAGTGGTTACATCCTGATGATTTACAGTAATTACAAACACACACTAGCTCACAGAATAATGAATAACTCAATTTTAGTTCAGTGTTCCTTACGTGCACCGCTGCCATTGCAAGGGAAACATGGCTGGGTATTATCTCGCTTTGCCTGCAACATGAACAAAACCACAATCACAGCTTAACGTCTGAAATATAGTATAATGCTGAATTCTCGACACCAACAAGACTAACTTACAGCATTATCAATCTGGGATTCGTAGAAAACAGGAATTCCTATCCCAACAGCAATGCTTACGACCCCGACCGAAATTGCAACTATCTGGTTTTGTTCTTTAAGAATTAACACTCTTCACAACAACATTACATGCAAAAACACTAAGAGCAAGTACGGATAGAGAAAGAACCGTGTTCTGATCAAGATCAATAGCCCTGATGCATGGATAAGACACTGGTGACCGTTGATGATGATGTCTCGCGGACTTGAAGGATGACAGTGAAAAAGAGATATTGTTAAGAGGGCAGCATAGAAATGGTGAGTGAAGACGAGGAATGGAAGGCGCTACTGGCATTTCTTATTTTCTGCTCTCTCCAAATTTCAAGGGACTGCCTCTGTTGATGCTAGAGTTTCAACAATTGAAGCTTCAGAGGAAATTTTTGGATATGTGGGGACTGCTTCAAGCACCATCAGCCAGACAGTTGTGAGTGGGTGTTTCGCTCGAGTTTTTTTTTCTATCTAGAACACTATGTCCACGTGGCGTTCATTCTATGGATGATGAATCTTGTTTTTGTTTTTTTTTTTTTAATTATGGATTGTCATGGACTGTCTCTATGAGCCCATATGCTTATGAGTTATGCTCAAGCTCAAGTCGTTGCAAGGGAACGGCCCAATCCCTCTGAGATCAAATAAATGTATTTCAAGTCCAAAGTTTAGGCAATTAGTCAGCGCAATGCCTTGCAACCCGACTGGATGACGGAGGTCTCTTTTATGTTTTTTATTTGCTCGGGGATGCAACGAGGCATTATATCCATGGTGTTAAACCCAGCATCGATTAACCTAGGAAATTTGGTATGTGGAGTTTAACCAAACCGCATGAAAAAACATAATTTTGAAAAAAAAATCAATTCGATTCGATAACGTGTAAATTGATTTAACTTAAATGTAATAATTTCTCACATTTTTCACTCGAGTATGGTTTCTTTAACATAGCCGTGCGTGCTTGACCGGAGTAGTTGTTAAGCACGTTACGGGGAGATTGGTGGCGATCCCTCGGCCAATGCCAGAAAATAGAGACAAAGGGTCGGCTTATTTTGACCTTGATTGGCATGGAGTTGAGGTAACCAAGAATAATCATGGCTAAGCATTGCTAAGTGCTTACAATCTAGTGGGTGATGAATCTATTAAATTCATTTCTTCCTTATTTCAACACTTTCTAGACATGCTAAGCAGACACAAAGCATTCTTTATATTAATTACAAAATAAAAATAAAAATAGGAGTTAGATACAGCCAAACGGATATAATTAGACGCGCATGAGAGTGGCCATGATGTTGAATAAGGTTCTTGGCATCGTACCCTTGTCCCTTGAGAATGGATGTGGTAAGGGACCAGCATGCTTTGATAAACAGAGAATCCAAGGCTGTGGAAGTTTCCCTCCGCACATGCTCCCTTTTTCACCTTGGTTTCCCTTTCCTCTAGGTCCCATTTTAGCTTTTCATCCGCCTCTCTACTCAATAATGGCTTCTTTTTTTAGTTGCTCTTTTTTATTTGCTTGTACTCGACACAGTACAGTCCATGTCTTGAGGATGGAAGCACTGTCAAAGATGAGGACCAACTTCAAAAGCTTTACATGTTTCCTTTACAGTACTGTTTTAGGCAGTGCTCCAGCGCCATGAGCTAGCTAGCACGTCAAGAATTCAATTGGTGTCAACTGTATTGATCAATGAACATTACAGCAGAGGCTTCCCACTCAGTTTCTGGCTAAAGGAGCATTGTGCCTCAAGTCCAACTGGACCATGCGACCTTGATAGGTGACTAGCATGCTTACTTTCTGGCTAAAGGAGCATGGTACCTCTAGTCCGACTGGCCATGTGGCCTTGATAGGTGATTAACATGCTCAGTTTCTGGCTAAAGGAGCATGGTACCTCAGGTCCGACGGGACCATGTGGCCGTGATAGGTGATTAACATGAACGGGCACTGGCTAAACAGGAGCCTGGGCATGTAAATGATCAATATCTGCTCCGTGACCGGTAAACGGTAAGCACATTTCAGTACAGTGACGCTTTGATTCCTGAAGCTGAAAAGATAGGAACCAGCTAAAGACGAATACAGGGGATCGTGATCATGATTTCCATGTAAAAGTAACAGAGGAAAAGCTACATGCCGGGAGCCTTAAATGATATAGGTCAAATATTGAAGAAAACTGATCCGGGCTATCTTGAATTAGATGGCGGTGCTTTTTAATTAGCGAGCCCACCAAGCTAATTAATGAATGTCAAGTCCAGATTCACAGCATCGTACTGTCACTAAAACCTCTGGTTATTGGTGGATGACACATTTCTTTTACTATCAGAAATAAAAATTTCATGAAATCAAATCTACCACAAAAATACATTGCTATTCTCGAAATTCATTAAATAGGGATAAATGAAAACCGATCAAATTATAATTTTCAAATTCAGTTAGTTGGACAAGGAAACCTTAAATTTCAAATAATTAGGTTAAAAACTTGAATTAACTTTGTAATATGATTTTCTTAGCTAGAAGTATCCAGTTAAAAACTCAATTATAATTATTTATTTATTAACAAAAAAAATATTATTTTGTTTTACATAAAAAAAATTAAAATTGACTTGAAATGACTTATAAGTGATTCAATCAAAACTCATGATGTATATTTTAAACTAAGTTAGTTATTAAATTAAATTTAAAAACTATAAATCAAACAACACAACAATAAAATAGTAAAATGTTTGTATTAGCATCAAAATGAAAGATATCTTTACATTATGAAAATTGTTATTATATTTTTCATCAATAGAAAAGTTTAAATTCATCATAAATCAATGAAAAAACAAGTTGAATTGCAAGTTTGGTTAAGGAGGTTTTTGTTTATAAATAATTGTTAAATAGTACCAATCTTTTATAAATCAAATAACATAATTATCATACTTGTAGTTAAAGGATATAAAAACCCAACAAGTAAGTGGATAAAACTAGAATAACAGTGGAAAAAAAAAAAACCTCGATCACAAAAACAAGATCTAAAGTTATTTAATATTAAAAAAACAAAGGAAAATAAGGATAAAAGAGGCTGTCCATTATTTAATATCGAATAGAAACGTGGACAGGTAAATTTTGTGAGCAATCTAGCAGTGTCGGAGAGTGTAGTGAATTTTGTTTTGTTTTTTTTTCAAAAAAACATCTCATTAAAAAAAACATTAAATTTATATTTTTTTATTGTTTTAGTCTTTTATAATATTACAAGTTTTTATATTTTATATTACATCAAATAGAAATATATTTTTTTCTCTATCCGGGACATCTTGTAAGAGAATTGTTGTTATATTTTTTTTGTAAATAGAAAAGTTTTAAATCTTTTAAAAAAAATTCAATGAAAAAACAGGTTGCATTACAAGCTTTCATTAAGAACGTTTTGTTACTATATAACTGAAATAATATTTTTTTTATCAATAAAACAATGTAATTATCAAACTTTTAGTTAAAGGATATACAAAGAAACCAGCAAGTGAGTGGATAAAAAGGGTAAAAGATCACATAAAACAAGATCTAAAGTTATTTAATAAAAAAAGGGAAAGGAAGGATAAAAAGTGCTATCCTCTGTGAAAAAATCACAAGCAGCTGCTAGAAAATTTTCTTTGCAGAGAATCTTGAAAAGAATTGGATGCTAATAAAGTTTCATGGTGGATAACGCATTAATTGTCACTCGACAATCATACTCGAAAAAAAAGAAAGTAGACAGGTAAAATTTGTGACCAAGATGCAGTGACAGTTTTGAAATTATATTTAGATGCACAAAAAATATTTGATTTGAAAAAATATTAAATGTATAATTTTTTAGTTTTTTTGGTTATTTTATTATGTTGATATATATAAGTAAAAAAAAAATATACGACTATAAAACCCACCGCACTCATAAACGGGCCATAGAGCCCTGGGGCCTGAAAAAACCTAAAGTAAACGGGCCATAGAGCCCTGGCCTGAAAAAAAACCCTGAAGGTGGCGACATGCAATTACATGTGCTTTATGTCATCCATCAAATTATTGCACCATACTGTATGAAACAACGGGCTTGAAAATGTATCCCAGCAAGGGAATCAAGAAAGAAACCAGAGACAACCATCTAAGCGGTAGCCAAGTGATAAAGATTTGAAATTAAGAGGTTTGCTCCCTCTGTAGTCTCAGGTTCGAGTTCTTTGTTGCTCATATGATGGCCACTGGAGGTTTACATGGTCGTTAACTTCAGGGCCCGTGGGATTAGTCGTGGTACGCGCAAGCTGGCCCGGACACCCACGTTAATCTAAAAAAAAAAAAGAGAAAGAAACCAGAGATGCAAACCAGTGCTTGGCCTAGCGGTGTAAGGGGCTTGTCTCCTTTCACTGCACCTGGGTTCGAGCCCTGGCGTGCATGCCTGTCACCCCCGCGGTGCCTTACATGCCTACTGGGTTTGCAGGGTATTCAGTGAGTTGTGGAAATTAGTCGTGGTGCGCAAGCTGACCCGGATACCCCACGTAAATAAAAAAAAAGAAGAAAGAAACCAGAGACTAATTAAAATAGTGTCTAGTGTTGGTTGGCATAATCCCATGTAAAAATCAATGATCTACAGGTAAATTAAAGTGGCAAAATTGCTCTATAGGCAAGAAATTCTAACATAAACCTAAGAGATGGTGTAATTTTATGGTATTTCCATCAGCAATCAATAAAGAATAGAGAAAAGGTAGGATTGTGTTGTACAAGCTCTGCTTTAAAGCTGATGTGGCATATCTTATTAAAATAAACCAAGATTCTTCAGAGGATGTGATCCACTTGAGCATTTTTCGTGGGTGTGAGTAAAGGGAAGGCAAAGAGTGGGATGGAAAGGACTGAATTGAACATTCGTCTCCCAAAAAGGACGCCACAGTAGCATTTTTAAAATATCAGGGTAGCCTAACGTTATTCCAATAGAGCCTACTCAGTAATCTCAATATCTTTCTGCATTGGTTATAAAATCCGGGCTGGCAGGGTGATAATTGATGGATGCAATGGTTTTAAAAAAATATTATTTTTATATACTTTTGATATTTAAAAAAATAATTACTTCCACCCTTTTAAATACATTCTAAGCCTTTGATGACCCATCAACCGGTAAAGTTTTTATAACCAAGCTTTCTCACAAGGTAAAAATTCATTTATTTTTATATTTTAAAAGTATTTTTTAAACAAAAAAATTAATTTAATTTCTTTTATATCATTTTGATTTTCTAGTATCAGGAATAGGTTTTTAAAAATAAAAAAAATATTTTTTTAATATATTAAAAAAAAACTTTAAAAATCAATAATAACAATACGCCCCCACATTTATTTATTTATCTTTTTGCTGCTTATCCGTAGAGGCTTAAGCAGTCGATGAGATACTTCACTCGTTAATCGGCAATTTATTCTCTTTCACACCTTTATCCACGGCGATGGTAACATCAC